GCTCTCATGGTGCCGGGCTTCAGGCCGGACCAGGAAAAAATGACATCTAAGCAATCGAAATTCAACCTGACACGTGGTGTCGAAGCCGCCTTCCGCTCTGCATCGCTGGCAGCTGCGGGCGACGACGAGATGCGTCCGGTCTTCAACGCCAGGGCCTGGACCATCTGCTCTCGAGCACCCGTGCTGCAGCGCTCCGCGAAAGCCAAGATTCCGCTTTCGCGCCAGAAGCGGGGAACCCGGGCGGGGAACCCGGGCCGCAGTGAACCTGGGCTTCATGCCGGAGTAGAGGGTCTCAAACTTCTCAATGGCCTCGTCGTACAAGTATGCCTTGCCGAGAGGCCCGACCTCCGCTCCGACAGGTGTCGTTGTACGAGGCCGCGAGGTACTTGCTCCTCGTTGCGAGCTTGCGAGCTGGCTGACGAGCTCTTCTTGTGCTTTGAGCAAGTCGGGCACTGTGATGTTCAGGCCCCAAGCGAGGATGCTGTCATTCCATTTGCCCGTCCCTTTGGCGATGTAATGTAGCGCGTACCACTCAAAGGTCGGTGGGTACCGCACCACCCTGGAGTCCACGAGCTTGGGTAGGGACACGCTGAGTTCTGGGCACCAAGCTTGGCGGGCGAGGTACGCCTCCACGCGATCGGTAGCACCGACAGTGACATACTTCTTCCAGCTGTCTCCTTCAGACATGACAAGGCGATTGCGTCGCAATGTAACGGTTGTGGCCGTCGCGATACCGCCGGCAGCGAATGCGGAAGAACGCTGCTCTGGACATGTCTAAGACTTGTACCGGAATGCGGCCAGCCAGTGACTTGTGTTCAGGCTGAGAATCAAGCAAACGGGAGCGTAGGGGGGGGCTTGATGAAGCAGCATACCCGCGAAGGGGCCTGATACCAGGAGTGAGCGAGCGACATACCGCAGTAGAACCAGCAGGACGATTTGAGATGGCAAGAAAGGGAAGGGGGGTCTGAAGCCGCTGCAGCGAGGGATGCTCCGGGAAAAAACCGGGGACCGTACACCACAGCAATCTCATGCAGTCAATCAAGCAGCTGCGCTGCCGGGCAGTGACACCAGTGAGACTGCTTCCTCAGCGGTAGCAGCAGAATGCTCGTTGGTGTCGGACACCTCGGGCCGGCGTTACAATACTGCGGAACATTGTATAAAGAGAGCAGAGCTGCGCCTTTTTGAGACCCGACTCCATCCAAGCGGTAGACCATCGTACACAGCCCACTACTCCCCGGACACGACACGGAAAGACACCATGATCACCGCCC